GTGTGTCATAGTGTGTGTTCACTCATGAGACTGATGGACATTCATTAGCACATCATTTATGTAAGAACACATTCATTAGCACATCATCCCTATGTCGCATATGAAATTAACAGCACATTCATAATGGAGGCATCCATGACATGCAGGTGCGTGGCATCGGAGAAGCACATAATTTGCAACAATCACGACAACAGAGCAGAAAACAATCACCAAACAACAGCGACTCAGATGCAAGACCAATGTTGGCGGAGGAACAAGAACAAGAGCAAATATATGACAAAGCGTTTCAATGGAAATGCGTATGTACAAGGCTGAAGCCAAAAACTAGACCCGTAGTCTCTACTGTACAACCGAGTAGCAAAAAAAAACTGGACCCATCATCTCTGCTACACAACAGTGTAGCAAAAAAAAACTGGACCCGTGGACGGGCGTCGTCTCTACTGTACAACCGAGTAGCAAAAAAAAAAAAAAAAACCCTAATGTCCACATACTGTCGTCGTTTCCATGGAACAACATCGACATAAATATGCAACAACCCTGCCGACAGAGCGTCCAGGCTGTACAGCCACACGAAAAACAAAAAAAAACTAATGAAAAAAAAAAATACACCACGGACGTCGTCATCTCCCACCAGAGCGCGCGCGGCCTCTCCCGGAGGACGGGCGACCATGCGGTCCTCCCCGGCGCCCTCCTCTCCCTCCGGCACCTGTGCCCCGTGCCCCGCTGACGTATGCCGCTGCGGGCCGCAGTCTCGATCGGCTCGGACTCAGTGTCTGCGTCCTCGTCCTCCTCTGCCTGTGCAGCAATCCCCCTCTCTCTCTCCCTCTGAATCGCGTCCGATGCTGCCTGCCTTGCGGCGACCCCTGCAGCGAGTCAAGCCTCAACCTCCGAGAGGCCATGCTGTCGTCTCGTCCTGGGACGCATCAACAACCCCTCCTCGCCCAATGTGAACTGCTCTCCCCGCAGCCTGTCTGTGGATGTCCCTGCGGCCTCGAGGACCAATGATCTCCTCGTATCCGCTCGTGACAAACCAAGCATGCGGCCTGCCATCTGCAGGCTCGGACGTCCGGACCCACCCTCCGCAGCCTGCGTCTGAACAGCCGTACGTCCCGTGAAGACGCCCCTCCCAGCGTCGTAATCCGCCCGCAACCGGTCCCCGACCCGACGAACAGCTGACCATCCGCCACCCACACCACCTCGGACTGTCGGCGGGGAACCGCCACTATGCGCAACTCCGGGTGCCGCCGTCCCGTCCCCGGTGTCGACCCTGGCCTCCGGAGTCCGTGCGGGGGGCGGAGGCATCGATCCTGCACTATCTCTACCTTCGTCGCTGCGTCTGCCGGACCCCACCTCACCCGCACCGGAGTCCCTCCCTCTCACGCCGCTGAGCGACGAACCCGACCAGTGAGGGCTCTGCACTGTGAACGGCGACGGTGAATATACCCTCCCAGGGGCCCGTTGCTTGCCACTCTTGCGGCTCACGTGTGCGAAACGGTCATCCGTCAACGCGTGCGCCAAAGCGTCGACGTCGAAGAAAGTGTGTGCTGTGTCCTCAGGGCGCAAGGGAGGCACTGTGGGGTCCCTCAACACCAAGGTGAGCCTATACGGATCGTCCTCGGGACCGTGGTCGTCGTCATCGTCGCTGTCCGGTCCATCGTCTCCACCGATACCCGCGGTATCCCCATCTCCACCGGGTCCACCCTCTCCTCTGCCACACTGCGGCACCCTGTCCCTCATCACCCGCGGTCTCGCTGTCTCCACAGCCCCCACTAGGGGACCCACCGCGCATGACAACATCCTGCCCCTCAGGGACACCCGCGGTCTCCTCGTCGCCGCGTCGTCCACCACCTGACCCACCACCCGCGGCGGCATCCTGCCCCTCATAATCGAACTCTCCCTGAACCTCCTCTCAGGGACACCCGAGTCGTCGACGTCACGGCTCCCCCCCCCTCCTGTCTCCAAGTCCCTCTGCCGACGCTGCTCGTCGAGATACGCGAACCGACCCTCCCACTGTGGCAAACTCCTCAGCCGCTCCTCCTCCTCTCGGTCCAAACGGGCATCCCTCTTCTCCTCAGTCTCAACAGGGCCCCGCTCAACGTCCGCGTCTCATCCCTCATCCTACGGTGAGGCACGTCGACGTCCCTCGACACTGAAATCTCCCAAGCTCCCGCCAAGCCCTATGACGTTGAAGTCCTGTGTGCGGAGCACCGACGGCGAGCGGGGGCGGATACCGGCGTCGGAAGGAGTCCTCTCCCCCCAACGATCCTCGCTGTCATGTGTCCGGTCTCTGCCTGCTGCCGACGCCAACCTCTCCGAACGCCTAAGTGCCTCGGGCTGTGCAGAGATCGGATGATGGGAGGGAGAGAAGCGACGATCGCGAAGGGGCACCTCCTCATCCTCGGCCTCCCCCTCGGCCTCGTTGTCGCTCCTAACCTCCCAACGCCTGCTTGTCTGCCGAAGACCTCCCCGTGGCTGCTGCTCCCCCGAGTCGTCCACGCGAACCTCCGCATGCGAACGTCCTCCACGACCACCGCCGGCTCTGCTGCTGCCACTCGCCTGCGCGGTCAATGGCACATCACCAGTGATAACTGATGTGAATGAATCCATGCCGTCACGACCCCCACCGTAAGTGAAGTACACTCGCTCAGCCGTCGGGTCGCGACTCAGTGGCGTGTCATCATCGTCAGTCCAGTCGTCGTCGATGTCGTCGTCTGCCGCAGCAGCGTCGACATCATCCCCAACCTCCGGCCACAGTCGCAGCTCCATCGCTCTGCTGCCGAACACGTCCCGAACCGAACGGGCTTTGGACGGTCGGCTGTCACGGAAAGCGACAATCTGCCGCTGGATCTCCTGCTCGAGAACACTGCCATCAGGTCGCGCTCCCCACACCTCGGGCTCCACATGTCCCTCCTCATCCTCCTCCTCTGCCGCTGTGCCCCCCCGGCCGGTCCCCATAACCCATGGCAACACGTAGCCACCACCCTGCCGTGCGCATGAGGCCAGTTTGAGATTGGTGGCAATCTCAACCAGCTGTGCAAGCTTGGCGAACCCAAGCTTGGAGCGCCTCGCCGTGCTGACGCGCTCGTGCTCCGCCCAGTTCCTCTTCGCTGGAGAGGCAGACGTCCACAAGTGCATGACACGGATGGCGATGGTGCGCAACTCCGGGTGGGCACGTCCATGCTCAAACCACCACGCTGCACATCGCTCGGTCTCGCTGTCCCCCCTGCAATCGGCCGCCTCGGCATCGGAGAGGTCACGATCTCCCCAATCCCCTCGCCTCGAGTGGAACGCCCTCATCTGGTCCCTCACGCTCCTGTACAATAAGTCGACCGGATCGCCGCCAGTCTGCGCCAGGAGAAATTTGTCGCACTCCTCGACCACACGGCGGTCGTCGGCGGTCGTCTCCAGCGAATGGTAATACGTGAGGGACCGTCGACGAGGGTTGAGGAGGTGGGCCGCGGCATGTGCGGGCTCTAGCATGGCAACCTCACGCACGCACGGCTCGATCATGTCCTCCGGCACGTCCACCCTCCTCATCAACTGCAGCAGATGCTGACTCCACTCGTAAACGACGGACATCATCATCCCACCTCTATCCATCCTGCGCAACAGCTGGTGGACGGGCGACATGACTAGGATGGTGTACTGGACACGCTGCCAAAACTCCCCGTCCCGGATCTGCTGCTGCACCCACTGCGCTTGAGATACGTGGGCGCGATCCCACGGGATGCGTGCCCAAGCATCCCCGTGCAACATGCTCTCCAACGCGTCTCGTCGGCCTTTGAGACACGTCAGCATCAGGAAAACCGATGCAAACCGTGTCTCAACGGGCTCGACGAGCTGAACGCGAGGGCTCACCTTCCTAAACAAGGTGTGAGCAGCGCCGTGCGATTTAATAAATCGCACAAGCGCTCGAGCGCGGATGATGGTCTCCTTGACCCACACCACTCGCGTCCCAATATCTGACAACATCAAGTTGCAGACATGGGTGGAGCACGGGAGCCACGTGATCCTCCTGATGTCAGGCTCGGGGTCTGTGGCGAACCTGCGCGCTGTCGCCGTATAGTTACTGGTGGAGTCAGTGCAGAAGCTGATCACGTCCTTTGCAGGAAAGGACAAGATGATGGCCCGCCACCTACGGTACACGACGTCCGCTGTGTCTCGGATCGACCCCTCACGTGCGACGGTGGCGTACAGCAGGGCGCCATTGGCGCTCCCGGCGAGGAAGTTCACGAGCGGCTTGCCGCTGCGCGACTTCCTTCCGCTGGAAAGGATAGTGGCACTGCTGTGCAGGAAAGTGGCGCGCACCTCGCTCACCATCGTCGCCACCTTCGCCCTCTGCGAAGGGATACCGACGCCCGCTGTAACCCTGTAGGAGGGAAACCGGAACTGGATAGATCGAGGCACTCTCTGCTGCCTGCCGCACCCTCTGGAACTCCGGACCACGGAAGGCGTTGAATGGCAACTTCTTCACGTAGATCCACTGAAGCCACGCGTCTGTGAACTCGGCCAACTTCTCCCTGGCGTACATCTTGTCAATCGTGGTCTGCCGAGCCCTCTTCTCCCTGCCCGTGTCTGGCACCTCGACGCTAGCCTGCCCCACTGTCCTCTTCTCCCTCCTCGCGCGCTCCACCTCAGGTCGCGGCGCCCTAGTAGCAGGACCCGCTCGACCGACGCCTCTCGACGTCATCACCACCTCCTCCCCTGGCAGGTTAGGCTCTCCGACTGCCTCGTCTGCCTCGTCTGCAACCACCCCCCTCCCTGGCCCCACCCTCGTGGCCCTCCTCCTCATCGAGGGCGTCCTGAATGTCGTCCCTCTCTGCGTCGTCCATCCGCTGTCTCTGGTCACCCGCGGGCGCTCTCGTGTCCCGTATGCCCTCGTCTGCCATCCACCTTTGCACCCGCTGAGCAGTGGACGGCACAAATGTGTAGTCCGTGCCGTTCCAGAGTTCCGCGAGAACTCTCATCCCCCCAGCCTTGCAGAACTTCGACTGCGTGAAATGACGCACGACCTTCGGCGACCCCCCCGGAAACAGGTGGCCGCATAAGTTGCAACGCAACTTTCGGTCCCCGTGCATCTTGGACTGGTCCCCGACGTACTGGCCCGCGGTGACGAAGTTCCAAACAATGTTCCCTTGCCTCAACTTCGCCATCTCGTTCTCGGACAGCGGGTTGAACTTGGCACCCACAGACCCCCCCGCACCGCTGCTCCCTGCACCCCTCGTCATCGCCCCCCCACCAGGATCCAACAAGTCGTGGCCTCGATCTTGGATGTCGTCTGACCGTGCCGC